CCCTACCCCCCGGCTGCGCCCCCTGCCATTGTCACTGCTGCTGCTCCAGCTTCGGCTCCGGCTTGTCCGGTAGCTGGAGTAGCTCCGGCTCCGGCTGGGGGAGCGGCTAGTGCTGCTATACCAAGAGGAATAGCTGCTGGCGCTGCTGGAGGAGGATGGACTGGGTCGGTAGTAGGGGATGGGGCGTTTGCGGGCACTGTGGGGACAAAGAGAGACCTGGGTTACCTGTAATACAAAGACAGACTCACTGCCAAATTCTCCAGAAAGCATTTCTGCTTTCGTGCAGTTGTTCGGCACAACACCTCCCAGAAAGGGAAGGGAGCAGGATGGCTGACATGCCTTGGAATCCAAACCAACCACCTCCAAAGCCCTCGGACATGCCCTGGGAAGTGCCCCAAGCACCATATATGAGGCCAGGCTCTCTCATAGTCTCTGCTTGGAACAGCCTCAGCTCAAGGGCTAGAGAAATCACAGGGACAGGGAAGAATAAAGTTCAAAGCTTTCTGTCACTCCATATTTGGAATGACAGGGTGTCCTTTGTGGGAGATCTTCTCCTTTGTGGGAGATCTATTGCAATGAATATCCTCCCTGGAAAGTCTGGGGTGGGATCCACCCACTGTCTGATGGGTCAGCCCCAGCTCTTACTTTATCAGCCCTACTTCTTTACCTGCTGTAAATGGGAATCTCTGCCTCCTTCTCCCTTCATCTCCAAGAGTCTTGGCATCAAAATGCTGGGCTCTCAGAGGGGCAGAAATGCACGCTGATCCGGCCCAGGAAAATGGGTCTCCTCCTGGAGCTGGGGGAGCAGCCTTCCCTGCTGAGGGCTAGGGCCAAAGGAGATCCCATTTTCCCCCAAGGCAGCTATATCTCAGCTTGTCTTCAAGGGACAGGAGTGTGTCCCCTTACCTTGTGATGCGCCGAGCTTCGAGGTGGCTGGGAGAATCTCTCCTGCGTTTCCTCAGGGGTGAATAGGATCTCTGTTGCCGCCTCCGGCCACGCTCCCTGTGCGAATCCTTCTCACTGGAGCTGTACTTGTGCTCTCTCTCGCGATCTCTAAGGAAGAGCCAGTTTGGAAAGCGTCACTGCTGTGTTTTGTGCAATTGCATGTGTGGGTTTTGAACACAGGAGCAATCACCCATGCAGGAACAGGTGAGCGGAGGACATTCAGCTCCAAGAGATCTACTCCAAGCAAAATATTCTGGTGGCATCAGCTCTGCACCCACCCAAGCTGGGCAGAGAGACACTCCTCTCGCCTGGCAGATGGGCACCCGCTAACCGTGGGCTGCCTGGAAGTTTACAGCAGTGTCTCCTCATGGCCCTGCGCTACCGGGCTAACGTGGCTGCCGTGTGCCCAGCTCTGTGCACGCGCTCTGCATTTCCCCAGCTCCATGAGAACTGCTCTTGCTGGCTGTGCTGCGAAAGGGGGTGAGACGCAGCCGCGCGCTGGGCCCGGGCAGGGGTGGGCTGCCTCGGCAGAGCGCTCCGTAACGAGTGTCGGCGTTGCTATGGTTTTGTGCTGAGTTCCTGCACGTGTCTGCACAGGCCCTTCGTGGAGTGTAGCTCATTTCACGGAATCACGGAATGGTTGAGGTTGGAATTTTGTACGCCCCTTTCCCTGCTCAGTGGCATCCGCAAAGCGACACCCTTCAGCTCCAGGGCCCTATCCTGGCACACAGGGGATACACCCTCCTGCTCCAGGTGCAGAGACTGTCACAGCCTGCAGGAACGAGGCCCTGGAGATGCACAGGGAGCAATGTTTTAAGAGCGTGAAGCTTTCACAACATGCCCCACAGGAGCGGGGGAATTACTGCTGCTGCCATCAGCAGGCAGGCAGTGCATGGAGCGTGAGCCGGCTTGTGAGGAACAGCAGAAAAAATTGCCCACAGGGAAGGTGAGAGAGCAGTTTGAGCCTGCCAGAAGGAACCGGAAAGTACACAAGAGTCCAACCAAGCAACAGAGGCAACTGGAAAGCATGAGGCACCAGGCACGGTGTAACGAGACAGCTGTACCTGCCAGGGCTGTAGCGGGAGTAACTGGGGCTCCGACGAGGCCTCGAGTTCCTGCTCCCGGGACTTTTTTTGCAGGATTTGGACGAATAGCTGGGGGACCGTGAATAAGACCTGGGGAGAGGCAAGAAGCAGAAAAGAGTTAAAGATCCTGCAGGTGAGGCTGCAACTGGCTTCTCTGAACCCAGGCTCACAGGGAAGTGTCACAGGAACAGATGGTTGAATTGGCCTTACCTCCTCCCTGAAGAGCAGGACCTGCTCCGGGAGTCCCTGGGGGAGGCCTTGCGGTGCAAGGAGCGGGAGCAGCTGGAGCTGCTGGAGCCGGGGGAGGAGCAGCCCGTGCTGGCGTAGGACTCGCTGCGGGAGCTCGGCCGCGCCGCGGAGCTGTGCGCTGGGGACGGGGGGAAGGTTCGCTTCTTCTCCGAGCAGCCAAGATACAGAGACAGGCACCCTCTGCAAACATACATTTGGACAGCCACTGAGGCTGTGGTTGAGCTGGGACCAGGCCCGGGCCGTGGGGAGCACCACACTTCAGCTAACAGTACTCCTGTCCTCCCATTCCCCACCTGGAGATAGAAAACCTCCCAGCTTCCTAAGTTCCTGTTGCAGGAGACCCACTGTACAGGTCGTGGTACAAGAGCCGCCCTCCAGGCTGGTGCCAGGTAAAGGCTGTGGGAGAGATTTAAGGTGCTGTTGGTGCCTTCTGCTGAGGTCCTGCAGGATGGCAGATCTTCTGCTCCATGACCGACACAGCAGATGTGTCTGGTTGGCAGAGTGTGGGCCAGGCCAGCGAGCTGTACAAGCCCTTGGGCATGGAGCAAGGTGGGGAGAAATCCTGGAGCAAGGAAAAGGCAGAGTGTGGCAGGGCAAAGGCGTGCGACCCGGCCTGGCTGGGAAGCAGCACGCTGGGAGCCGAGTGCGAGCGCTCCGCTGCCTGCGCACGAGGCTGCACGAATCCCCCCGTCTCCAAGGGACGTAGCCTGGGTCTGAGCTGGGCCTTACGCAGTGGTGAGCCACCCCTCCACAACCAATGCCCACACGCTATCCTGGATCTACCCGTGTGAGGGCGGAGTTGTCCCACTGCAGTCACAAGGTGAAAGGTACCCACAGTCATAAAATACTGCTCGCTAGCTGAAAATTCAGAGCTGGTTCTTCCTAATGCCAGTTCCTCTGCCTCTCCCCGTCTCTGATTCAGCACTTCCAGCACCAGACCATGTCCTGACTCAGGTCGGAAGACCTGAGGGCCTGAGTTGAAAGAGCTCCTAACACCACTAGCCTTAGGCATTGCCTTGGGTGCCGGCTGCTTTGCTTCGATATCTGTAACCCCAGTATGTACCTGGCAAAAGGCCAGGGCCTCCAGGAAGGAGAGGTGTTAGAGGCTGCCATGTGCTCCTCTCCCTTGACCATGACCTGTGTCATCTGACTGGGGTTTGGCTCCAGCTCTGCCTCCCCAGCCTCCAGGCTCTGGGTTATCCCAAGCCGATGAAGCACTTGTCTCTCCTTGTGCTGCCTCCTCCCAGAAAATGCCACCTGATCACCCAAGACCAGTCCTGAACGAGCCAGGAAGGGACAGACTGGATTTGGCTCAGTGGACAGGAGGAAAAACAGCCCATAATGGTTCTAGGGAAAATGAATCCTGCCTCCTTTCCTTCCCCATGGTAAACAGAGGGAAGGAGGTTGTATGGCAACCCTCCAACCCCTAGCTTGTCCCACAAGGGCCAATGGCTCTTTTGCATGGCCATGACCAGCTCAGGAGGGCTGTGCTCAGGACGCAGCTCGGCCCTGGCTCTGATCCCTTGCTGGCCACACTGGCACCAGGAGAGCAGCCACACGCCGCTCCCTGAGCCTCACAGCTGGGTTTTCATTTCTCTCCTCACTCTGAAGCTGGGCCTGGACTCCAGACCGGCAAGACCACGGGTCTGATTTATGGCTAACTGCATCCACAAAACCCTCCTACCAGCTCACCACTGCAACCAGCAACCGGGCAGGAAACACAGAACCATTCCAGCAACAACGTACCAGGTATGTGGCTGCCAGTAGCAGCTACGGATAATCACTGACCTTCCGTCTTGTCCCTGGGCATCTGGAGACAGGTTTTCCAAAGCTGTTCCCTTGCTCTGGGAAAAGCAACTGGTGAAGGAATTTCCTGAATCAGAGCTGTTATCGCTGTTGGCCAGTTTGGGCTTCCCGGACGAGAAGGCATGGCCAAAGCCATCATGGACTAGACTTCTTTTCTCCTGGCTGTCCTTTGACCTGGAGGAGCTCGTTTGAGTGGAGGGAGGGGAGGAAGTATCGTTTCCTGAGTCATATTCATGATACTCTCCATTCTGGCTGGCTAGGTTGCCAAGCGGGCTGTCTGTTTTGGTAAAGAGGTCAGCAGAAGACCCTGACTGAGAGATCTGAAAGCAAAAAAGCCATTTGGCATTGTTTGAATATTTTGGGGGGGGTTGGTTTTGGTTTTACTTTGATTTTTTTTTAAATAAACCCAGAAATTTTACCGTCATGATGCACTGAAACAAAAGGAAAGAAAGAAAGAAAGAAGGTAAGAAAGAAAGAAAGCAAAAGAGGAAAGAGAAGAAGAAAACAAAGCACATATCCCTGAAAAAAATCCACAGTAAGCAGAAACTTCTTTTCCCCCTGCTATAATAATGGGAAGATTTAGAGATCATGCAAAGAGTATCAGCATGCAATTTGTGTTAAAACAAAAGAATTCAACAAAGTCAATGGGGAACCAAAGAATCAAAATAAGTAACTAAATTTAAAAAAGGTAAAATGGAGGGAAAAAGCCCTTATTTAAGCTAAGGGAGGGAGGATGGGGGAAAAGAAACAGGAATACACATACAAAAAAAGTACATACTGCTTGGAAAGGAAAAAAGAACAAAACAAAATCCCAAATAAGTCTGACTTTTTTAAAGCTTGCTTAACATGGAAACTGAATGAATGTCACTAAAATGAATAAAGAAAAGTAAAATAAAATCAAGGGCTTCTGTGCAAAGTAAAAAACTGGCAAACAAACAAGCTTAGCACTTTGAAGCTAAAAAAAAAAGGGGGGGGATGAAAGAAAAAAGGAGAGGGAAGGGATAAAGAAAAATCCCTCTGGAAATAAAAATTTTACAGGTATTTCTTTGTGTGCTTTTTTTCCCCCTGAAGAAGGCATTGCTAAAGCGCTCAAGTGACCTCTAATAAATTCCCTGGTGTCTTGCGGATAGCATCCACTTACCCATCAAGAACTCCTCCTTTAGTAGGTAAGGTGGAAAGAGCGGGCAACATAAGTCCATCATTAGAGTCTCAAATTACAAGAAAAAAAAACATAAACCCTCTCTTCAATCCACACTGCCAACTGTTTGCTTGACTCCTCTACGTATGCACACGTCGTGCCTGCTTTTTGGCTATTTGTTTGCTCGTCTCACTGCGTCCTTCTGTTTTACATTAGGCTGTTCAGTTCCTCGAGGCTCATCAGCTGTGCCGAGAAGCAGCATCGTGTGCTGCATCCCATTTGGCGTCACAGGGGCCACGTGGAAGTGACAGCAGAAGGTAAAGTGAAGGGGGGGAAATCAAAAAAATAAGGGAGGGAAAAATTCTCCTGCTGCGATGAGTTAGGAAGTGGTGGGGATGGGGAGGACAGCCCTGCTCCTGCCAGCTGCCAGGATGTGTTCGGCCAAATCCCTCCAGGACAGCACATCCAGGCCAGCTGCCCCAGGCAGGACTACCCTCAGGGGCCCTGAGCACCACTGGGGTGGATTTGCATTACCGAAGTAGTTTACCCTCTTGTTTCTCACCCCCTGGCCCTTGCCTGGACAGGTCTGTGGGCGCAGATGTGTGCTGTCCCCGCTGCAGAGAACTCCACAGCTATCCCAGCCTGCTTCCATCAAGCCCCTGCGCACGTCCTTCCCACGCACGCTGGGCCGCCTCGTCTCCCTCTGTGCTGCGCTCCCCACGTGCCTCATCAAGCCCTGAGCTGCGGGAAGCAGAGCTGCGTGGGGCAGGGCTGGCTCCTTCGGAGGGCTCAGCCCAGGGCAGCGCGGACGTGATGCTGAGGCACTGGCTGCTGCAGGGACCTGGCCCCTTTCCTCATTCCCACAGGGAGTGCAAGGACAGCCCAGCTCCTGTCTACATGTTCCTCCTCCATCTCACCAGATGGTGCCTTCGCATCCCGCCACCAGCCTCTAATGTCTCACATGGGACCCTCGGGGGTTGCTCTTGAGCCAGTTCAAGAGGCATTAACTGGGTCAGGGAGGTCTGGCTCAGATCCACACGCTGACACCAGCGATGGCTGGAACCAAAGGGGAGCTGCTGCGCGGGAAGCTGCCGGCACAGGGAGCGGGCCCTCAGCAACAGACACGCGCAAGGAGGATATCCACAATGCCCTCGCACCCTGTAGACACCGTGACTTGGAGGATCTCCAAGTACCTTCCTGACACTCCCAGACAGAACTAGTGCACAAATGACAGGAATTAGGTCATCCCTGCAAATCCGTGCTAGAGCTGGGGCCCTCTGTGGCTTCCCTGTCCATCTACCCCGACCTCTAGGCCGTGCTCAGAGCCCTAGACGTGGAAGGCCTGGGAGCCCTCCCAGCTCTAGAACTTTGTTCCAGTGGAAACAGAGATGTCTAAGAGCACAAGACAAGTCAGGTACCGGCTCTCCTCCTGTTGCCACCAACCCGTACTGAAACCCTGGCACTGTAAGCAGGGCCCTGGGAGATGTGAGTGCCTCAGCACAGGCCACTCATGTCTCCCCAACCACATCCCAATAGATACAGGATTGTTTGTGTTTTCTAGTAGGGCACCACATTGTTCAGAGGATGGTGCATGGTTTGCTTGGGATCTGAAGCACACCCCAGACCTCGCCAGCTCCTGACTGTCTTTTACTTGCGAGCATAAAAATATCCCTGCAGGTGCTCCCTGGCTGTGCGGGCAGGAGAGCCCTGGAGGGGCACGTGGCTGCTCAGAGGGAGACACCAGCACGGCACTTGCAAACGCTCCGCTTCCCTGTTCTCCAGTCTAAAAACAAAAGGCCTTTTCTTTTCCACAGGCAAAAAAATTCAGCAGTTCCTGCTATTTCTAAAACAGCTCTGCAACCTGCCCCTGGGACCTGGGATATTACACTCTTGCTTTGCCTTTGCTGGAATTTACCTTTCAAAGTGTCAGCTGCTCCCAGGGCTTCACTCCTGTGAAATGATCTGAGAACCAGCAAGCTTCCTTATAGCCCAACGGCTGCATTAGCAGCACGCCGGGAAGAGGCAGCGGCTGGATGGATGTGAGATACAGGGCGCACAGCCCATGTGAGGGCACATCCGTGGGCACCAGGCTCCAGGGGAATTGCTGTCCTGGAGCAAGAGCCAGGATAGGAACTACTCGAGCCTGCGAAGGACACGAAAGCTGATGGTGCTTTACTCAGACCTATGCTTGGAGGCAAACTCCCTCTCTGCTGACCTTCACTTTGCTTTTGTTGCATTTTACTGCTTTGGAAAGGCGCGTCAGCCCCACAAAATGGAAACCTCGAGCCACATCTGAAAACATCCTGTGTTCAGCTGAGTTCTAATGGCTTTTTTTTCCCTGGGGTGTTTTAAAAATTTGGGCTTTTCTAAACCTCATTTGCTCTATGTGACCACTTGGATTTTATCCTCCTCTAATATGTAATTAAATAATCTCAGTGAACTTGGTTTCCTCCAGCTTTCTGCAAGGGAACCTACTGCTGCCCTCAGGGTACCCAAGATATATATTTTTTGTTTCTTTTTTGTTTCAAATCATTATTTAATCAAGATGAAGGAGTAGAAATGAGGCCCTCACTCATACCTCAGAATGTAATTTTGATTGAGCTCCTAGATCATAAGGCGCCATAGTCTAATAGGTTACAAAAATATAATCGCTACCAGTCTCCCAATTAAACTGAACAAGTGCATTTACTGTGCTTCAAACAGCCCTGAGGAGAGATATGACTATAAATTTTCTCAGTCATATGGGAACAGGAATCTAGCAACGAGCAGGGGTGCACAGACCGCGTTATAGCTGAGGGATTACTTTCCTGTGTCTTTTTCTCTTGTTTTGCAATGCATTTCACAGCAGAGTTCATTTCTTTTTCAGCGGGGCATAATGCCTCCCTCTCTCTCGTTTGCTGTGCATTATAATAAGAAAAGGGATAAAAAGCTTGTGCGAGTGACCCCAGCAAGCCTCGCTCTGCCGATGACCCAGCAACCAGCTGCCAAGGAAGGGGAAGCAGCACCTGCCAGAGGGGCTGCCGGGGGCCCCAAGGCGGCTGCTCCACGGAGGCTGTTCCCCAAGGGACATTCAGCCTCTGGAGCAGCAGGGGCAGGTCTTTACCAAGGGAAAATGGGTTAAATCTGCTAGCAGTTTGCCCCCAGCTGAAAACACAACCTGCTATTAAAGTGAGTGCAAAAATACTGGTGCTACAGGAATGCTCTATATCCCCCTTAGGCACAATTATGGATTCCTTACTCAAGGAAAAGTGAGTGGAAAGATTCATTTCAGCTGCATGGAGAGCTCTGGATGAGGCCCTCTCTACCAAAAGAGCTAGGCCAAGTCCAGGAACCTGAAAGCAACGGTACAACTGCCCCCATAAGGCCAGATACTGGGTTACCTGGGGCTGGCAACACTCCCATGTGGCCTGGATCACAAAATCCATTCCTGGCAGTAAATTCCTAACAAGGCAAAGCAGTAAATCTTTGCTTGGCAAAACCCCCTTCAGCCTGCTGGGGTGCAGCCTTCCCAGTTTTAAGGGCCATGTTTGTTGACAGAAGCATTCTGTAGAAGAGCTAAAGAAACAGCTTTCCCCAAGTAAACCAAAAAGGGAGGCTAGAAAACACACAGCCAACATCCAGACCTGCTGCAAGGTTTTGGAAGCCCGGCTGCCCCAGCCCCTGCACAGCATATTCCCCTCATCTATCTTCCTGCAGATGCTTTAATGCAAAGATAAACAGTGCCGTTTGCAACAGCCTTGCTCCCGTGGAACATCATTGAGAATCTGGCTGAACGCTATGTTAATTTGTGACATTGCAAACGAGTTTCAGTGAAAGTAAAGGAGCTGGCTAGGAAAGCGCAGGCAGCGTGCAGTTATCTCCATCAGGTGCAACAAAGGCAATTAGATTAGTACCCTGCAGGTATTTATATTGCGCTGTTAAACTAAAAGCACAACAGTACGTCATATATCTGTATCTGTGCGGAGTAAAGCGTCTGCAGCAGGTCAGGGGGTGTTATTTGTGTGCAAAAATAGATGCTGCATATTACCCACATTTTCCCTGCATGCTGAGGCACAGACCTGTAATCCTATTCTCAACAGGTGACTATTGCAGCTGCTGGTGATTAAAGGGAAGAGAGGTGGAGATGCTAGGAAATCCACTGCAGAAAGGAAAAGCAGCAGAGATGGGAGTGTTTTGGCATGTGTGTAGAGGATTGAGTGTATCAGCTTGTAAATAAAGACAAGGGGGGAAGCAGTAGTTAGGGAGTTGCATGGGCAGGGGATTCTTTTTCTCCTAAGTTAAAGCTAGACCTAGTTAGGAAGTCAGGGTCATACCAGGGAAATGAAGGAGAACTTTTTTTGAGGGGCGGCTGTTATAAGATTCACAACAAAATGCTTCAACTTTTCAGGAGAAAAGTAAAACAATAAGAACTGGCATAAGAAACACAGATATCGATTTAAAAGCATTGATTTAGAATGCCATTTCAGAATCAAAATTCTAGAATTTTTGACAAAAAAAGTCTTTTCTTTTCAGCATAATCCAGGCAGCTTTCAAAGCTGATTCTGATAAAACTACTTATTTATATAACAACCATTAACACACAAAACAGGAAAGCTCAAAACAGCGGTGTGAACCCTTTAACAGAAGAGACTAAAAGTTTCCATTCCATTTACCCCTGTCAGTTTTGAATACATGATATTTAAAGATCTTGTTCAGCGAGAGAAAAAAAAAAGTCAGCAATGGCCTTTAACCAGGGGCTGCAATTTAAGCAAGTGCTAAAAGTGTTCTTGAGTGATGCCCCAAGAGAGTGCACCTCTTTTTGGGAACAGAGAGGACACTAACAGACTGCACAGTAAGTGATCTGATGCGTTTTTATCATTGGAATATTTGTGTTCCTAACCCTAGATCAAAAGACTGCAGCAGGGTCCTGATGTCTTTATTTTGCAGCCATTACCTGCACCAGCAGCTATAAATGCTCTGATTTTTCCCTGCCCTGCAGCTCGTGTGCTCATTTACTCTGAGTGAGGCAAGTGCAAAGGGGAGTGCAGCATGCTTGAGTTTAGCTCATTTTAAAGGATTTTACAGTTTTAAAGTGGAGTTTACTCTTGCTCTGGGAACAGACCAGCTGGAAGTCGACTTCACAGGACTTGGACCCTGGCTTCAGAGAGAGGAAACCTAGCACCAATTAAAAACCAGGCTTAGACTCAAACATTTATGTAAAATATATGGCTTGTGTAAAACAAAACAGAACAAAAACAATCAAAAAAAGCAAACCCAAAGCAAAAGAAAACCAAACCAAAAATCCTTGGTGAAACAATGCAATCTTTTGCAGGTTGTTTTTGGGAGGAGCCTTTAACTCATTCCTACCTTCCCGGGCTGGCAGACAGCAACACCCCGGGCTCATGACAGTAAAAGCTTTAGAGCTCGTTGTTCTTGCTTGGTGCGTGCACAAACACACCGCTCCGTGTGCAGGCTTTGCCATCCACACTGTATCTTATAACCCAGCTGTATAGCCAAGACTTTCATGTGCGCTACATGCTCAGCAGATGCACAAAATGAGAGCAAATGTGTATATCTCTATTTGTGAGACAGCTTGTTCTCATCTATGTCCGTGTATACTCTTCATGCGCACTGACCAAAACATGGTAGGTGAGTGCAGAAGGCATCTCCTCTTGCTGGCACTGTCTCCCACCTGATGTAACTAAATCCTGAGTATGGCTGAGCTATTTCCAACTGTGACTGATCTACAGAGGAGGAAAAATCACATCCCTGTTATCTACCACTGTGGGGCTTGGACAGCTCCCTACCCGAGACATCCCTAACGTTACCCACACGTGCATGCAGCGGATTCTGCACTACCTCGAGTCTTCTGTAGCAACCTGTCTCTCCAAAACACCTCTGGGAGGCTAACACTGAGCAAAGAGCATCACAGCTCTGCTTTGCAGCCATGGAGAGCAAGGGGAGAATGTGGCAAGCAAAGCAAGACTTCTTATCAGTCTATATCTATTTGTCTCCATCTTCTACTCCCTCAGTTTCAAGGTACATATTTTATCATCCCTCTCCACATACATGGAAAAACATCCTAAGGCACTGAGCCTGATTTTACCCTTAGCTGCACATGAAGTTCCCATTAGCATCAACGAGAGCTACTCATGAGCTCAGACTTTGGCCCTTGGGCTTGTCAGACCAGCGAAACAGTGACCTTAGAAGCATTCCAATAGTAAGAAAACATCCCCTGCCAATAATCAACAACTCATTAAATGTAAATGTTTCTTTTATATATGTTTGATTCCCTTTCTTCCCCTGAAGGGCTAAACTGTTGGACACGAAGACCAGTAAATTAAGTTCACATCCAGCTAATCAAAGGCTGCATAACAAACACTTCCCTGTAAAATATCATTGCCAGAGGACACTTTTTGGTAAATGTCCTTAATTCATTATTCATAGACTAGAGTCTTGGCAAATTTTTCCCCTCTCCAGCCCCACCCTTGGTGTGAGAGCACTGAAGGAAGGAATGACTTTAGATACATTGAAGAGCAGCATCGTTAATAATTAATACGTTTTTGAACCAACTTTGTCTAGCATTGCTATAATTGAATTATAAAAATTGCATGTGCAATTTCTCGCCCAGGTTTCTTAGCTAGTCTGAGCAAGGAAGCAGAGCGGGTAATACTTACTACTTCCTTAGGAGGCAGGAGGCTGTGGAGGGGGAGAGCTGGGCTGGCTTTTTGGCTGGCCTGACGCTCTGCGGAGGAGCTTCGCGGTGCGGTGCTCTTTGAGCGGCGCCGGGAGCGTCTCCGCCGCGTTTTCCGCCCTTCCTCCCGAGACCTGGCTCGATGCCTCCGGGGGAGAGACAGGGACAGCCGTTATTCCTCGTTATTCCTTGTTATTCCTCGCTATGGCAGCGGGGCCCATTAGCGGCACCGCAGAGACCCCTCAGAGCTTTGTGCCAGGTCGCTGCACGCGGGAGAGCCCTCCACGTGTCCCCATCCAAGGGACAGGAAAGGGATGTTCTGTTCTTCTACTTAAAAAATATATGTATTTTGCACTTGGGAAACTTGTGGTGGGTTTTGGACGTTAACCTGAAATTTCAGCTCCAGTTCATGACTTGATTTTGACTCAAGGCAAACCAGTTTCCCACAGCCTCTGGCAGTATTCCTCCAGGAAAATACAAAAACAGGCAAAAAAACCACTGTGCTCTTGTAGCAACACCCCACCAGAGACCGATTCCCCTCACCAAACCTCCCTTCACTGTTCAGCTTTTCAAGAGCAAATTCCTAATAGTGAGGAGAGGTGGGGAAGGAGAATGGGGGCAGTTTATAGAGCCAACATGAACTCATGATGTCCATGAACTATGGGACTGCCTATTTGCAATGTTAGTCTTTCACCATCATCTGCTCCCAGGATGGAGCTGTCATCCACAGGCAGAGATGTTAATCAGGCCAAAAATGTGGCCTAACAAACACCACAGACCGAAATATTTCCAATGCGAAGGGGAGGTTTAAGGACTCTCCTGGGCGCTTGGCAGTACAGAGCACATAAGGTGGGGAAGAGCAACCAGGCTGAAATAAGCTGTCACAGACTGATCATCAGCCTTGGGGATTAGGACTTGTGACTACTGGATTGAGAAGCTGCAGCCACTGCTCCTTGGGCCAAACCCCTCTTTTCTACAGCCAAGGCCAAGAGTTGCTCAACCCTCCAGCACGTGGCAGAGCTCCTAACAGAAAGAGATGCTGCTTCACAGAGTGTCTGTGGGTCACAGTGGCTTTTGCAGTCTGCAGAAGGACACCCAGTTCAGCAAGCGGTGCCGTTACCTGCTCCGGCAGTTAGTGGAGTGGGAATCGGAGCTCTCCGAGTGAGAGTGACGGTGCCGACGAGATTTCCGGGGCCGCCCACGAGAGCTTTAAGAAGAGAGAAAAACCACCATTAGGCTGGCAGAGTGTAGGGAGGCAAGATTCCATAGTTGGAGGCCTGAGTCAACAACATCCAAACCAGAAATGAGATCTGTATGTTAAACAAAAGAGATTGGTGCATGAAATATTGCACAGGACACCAAGAGGGCAGGAGACATTCTCCATCCCTAAACCTAAAAGGCCACTTTAGATAACCACTTTGCTGAGATCAATGCTAGTCATTTAATTACAAGCTATTAGGGCGGCAGTAGAGCCTGCCTGGGCGGGAGGTGTGCAGGCATGCAGTCAGGAGCACCCAGCCATAAACCTCAGCTCCCCGTATGTAATGCTGTGCCCTTCTCTGCAGCGAGCTCAAGCACAGCCCTTCTCTGGTTCCTTGCTGAAGAGCACGTGCAGAAGGACAGGCTCAGGCACACACAGAGCACGTGGAAACAACCTCTCTGCACGGGAGGGTGCAGCCAGGGCTGCGGGCAGCTCCTTCCCTGGTTGCTGCATGAATGTGAACGCATGCAACAGCTTCCCCAGCCACTTTTCCAGTGCTCCCAAGGCCACCGGACAGCTACAGGCAAACTGTGCCCATAGACCCCGCTTCAGTACCCTGATGCCCTTCCTTTTGCTCCATCCTGACTGCTACTGGTGGATTATCCAGCTCTATCACTGAGGAGCTGTCGTTGCCAGTGCCAACAGTTGAAGTCCTGCACATAGCAAGCAGGACAGCATGGGGACAAGCTGGCATCTTCAGTGCCCCTTCCCTCTTGCTGTGCCTGGTGCTTATCACCGCAGATTTTTCAGACCTCGTACTGTATTCGCCTGGCACTGCAGTGCCAGCAGGCAAATGTAATGAAGGGTTAGCTGGTGAGAAGAGCCTGATTTCATAGGCACGTCATACAAGTCCCTGACAACACTAATACACCTATTTAGACAGCTTTTGGCAATTCACCAAACCAATTGCTTGAAAACAACATCTCTTTTAAGGGAAAAGGGCAACCATCAAGGCAATTGCTTGATCTTCATTTGTTTTTTTTCCCTCTGATGATTTTTATACTCTACTTCTATATTAAAAAAAAATCCTTCACGTTCCACCCTCCTTGTTTTTGAAGAGCTGGAATTGGCAGCACTGAATACCTGGTGGATTTGTGCAAAACCCCTCATCTTTGCTCTTCACCCTCTGCATCAGTTACAGATTTTGCGCTTGTGCAGGAGGAAGAATTGGTCCTGTGTGATTTAGGTAACCAGTTGCTGAACAAAGATAAGCCAAAGCAAAGTGATTATACACAAACCCTGCTCTAAGCTGGCTCATGGGACCTCTCTGACACACACCCAGCAGTAATGAGGATGTTTGCAGCAACCAGGAGTGGCTCCGTTCTGATCTGTGAGATGAGAGATAAGGGCTAAAACACCCTGTCTAGTTTATCCCCAAAGAGCGATTCTAGCAGCTCTCATTCCCCTAGGTCAGTGCATTTGAGCAAGGCATCCAATCTTTACTTTAATTATATGCTTTTAGGCTACTGCCTACATTATGGTGTGTTTGGGAGATGCCTCCTTTTACTGATAACATAGAAAGCCTCAGTTTTACCAATGACCTGGCAGAGGAAGTTCTGCATCCTGTGCATGGATTCCCAAGCACGTCAGTCTTAAAAAGTACTGGGGTGCCACTAGCAGTGTTAGGGGTTATCATCCCTCTACTCACTTTCTGACTAAGAGATAGAAGTTCAAACTGCCAATCAAGCCAGCAGAGTCCCTTTGTGTAAGTGGGTTTCTCTCTCCAACAGGTTTTCCAAGTAGCAATAGAACCAGCCAGGATTTTGATGCCCAGGATTCAGCCTCAGGGCTGTTGCATTGCTTAGAAAGCAGGGGAGAAACCATAGGTTGAAATACCCAGGAGAAGGCTGAAAAGGAAGCGAATCCTGCGAAGAACTGTGAGAGAAGTCACTTCCAAAACGCTTCCCTGGAGCTCAGGAAGGTGTGATCTGGGGTGGTCTCAAGTGCTTACAACAGGCCTTCCTCCTGGCCCCAACGAAACTGTCACCACACGTCATAGAGCACCCTTTGGATTATCTACCCCACAGGGCAAGGGTTGTGCTTCAGGGCTTCAACCCCATAATTTTATATCCTACATCAGCTCCGACCGCTCACTTCTGTTCCCACCTTCCTGCCCCAATTGCCTTCTGCCCCATTCAGATATATGGTTGCGTTGTATATCCTACTGTAACTTCTGAGGGGTTTTGGGCAACAAATAAGACAGATGAAGCTTCTCAGGAGGTCTGTCCTTTGGACAGTGGAGGCTGTAGGGCACTGTGCTCCGTGAGAGCCCCAGGTGAAACACAAAACCAGATCCGAGTTCATTCCCTCGTGCTGCCCTGAGCAGAAGAGGCAGGTGATTCTGCTCAAGGATGGATGAACAAGACACTGTACATCCCATGTGTGATACAAAGGAAATGCCAAAACAGGTGACACAGAAGACAGGGAGATGAAATACCTCCAGCCTCTTCAAGCCTTTTCCCATTCTGGCAAAACCAGAAGCACCGGTTTTAGCTTCAAAACAATCCAGAGTTGCCTGGCGCTTTGCAGCCAGTGTTAGCTCCTAAGGGCCTGACACACCAAATGTTTCCTAGCCCTGTAGTCCTGCATAGGCAGGGCATGGAGTACCATGCATTGCTACTTACTGTTTTTTGTGTTTTCTTTCTTCCTTTCTCTTACTTTTGGGGCTTGAAGAACTAAATAAGAAAGGGCTAATTAATAGGGAGATTTCTGTTCTGATAGAAAGTCACACAAACACATGTTAATGTTACACTTAAATCACTCCAAAGCATGCAATAAAAGTGAAAAGGAGGAATATTCTGTCTTGGCACAGAGGGTCTGATGACCTGCTGACAAATTTGGCTCATGCTTTGGACATAAAGGATCTCTAAAGGGATGAGCAATCCTGCTTGGCCTCACACTTCCTTATGGAGAAGATGAATATTTCTGGATGCTGTACACGCTGGAATGTGCAGGGTTATTCCAGTGCACAACAGGAAGGGCACTGAGATGACTCTGGCCTCAAGGTTTTAAAGATGGGTAGTGCTGGGATGTGCACATGCATAGGATGGGGAAAGTCAAAGGGATCCCACAGGAAAACAGAGAAGAAACATGTTTTATACCTCTACCCAGTGAATCTCAGCCCTCTAAGTTCCCCAAAGGACCATTAAACTAAAACATTTTAGGAGTCTACCCACGCTTGCTCCAGTTTTACCTGTGTCTTCTCTTCTTTGAGGATAACCTGCAAAAAAACAGAGGGGCACATTGAAGGGTTTTTTTCCTGGTTCAATGAATTAATACGTGAACTTTCCCAGGGAGATTGCACCCGTTGCTCTCAGAGGAGCAGTGGAGGGAAAGAAAAAAAATAGTTGCTATTTTAAAAATATCAGTGTGCTCTTTAATTTAAAGATACAATTGAAAGAAAGAGGGCAAGCCCTGGCCCTGCCCCACACAGCTGGAGACAACCACATTGACTGGCTCTTGGCATCTGGGGTTGGCGGAGCTGCAGATCTGGAGGTTTTTCCCCCATGCCACCAGCAGCATCAGCACCCCGGCGCATGGAGCAGCTGCAGCTCTGCAGAACCAGCCGTGACTGCAGCCTCGTCAACCGCGAGGCCCAGCCTTGGATGGCAGCACTCGGGACTCCGACAGGAAAATACGAGGAAGAAATGTTTCCAAGGCCAAAATACCTGTTTCTTTTTCGTTTCTTCGAGCTCTTCTTCTTTTTCTTCTTCACAGGTGAGGGGCTGTAGGACGGAGACCTGGTGGGGGAGGCGACAGGCGTGAAGTAGGACCGGGGGGACAGGAGAGCCCGTCATGACTCCCAGCTCCTGCTCAGCCCCAGCACCGTCCCACGGCGGAGGGAACACAGCACAACACGGTGCCTCACAGCAACACGGCCCTCCAGCACCTCCCCAGCAGGGCCTTTCCTCCATTCGGGCCCCATGTTCCCATTTTCTCCCCATTTTCCCTCCATCACAGGGGCTGCCCCAGCCCCCTTCACCTACCTCCTTCTCTTCTTACGGCCGGATTTCTTCTTCTTTTTCTTTCCCCGGGCCGGCGGTGGGGTGCGCTGCACCTCACACGAGCGGCTAGAGGGGAGCGGTGGGAAGATTATTATTATTATTATGATAATAAAAGACACACGCTAAAGGGGCAAGGGGCTCTCATGGCCCATCTGTGACCCTGCAGTGTTCACCCTATCACCCGTCCTCGGCAATGCTCAAAATCAAGGGTCTCCATAACAGAGAAACAAGGAGATGACCCCCTGCCCGCCACTCACATATTGGCCTAAGTTAACAGCACCCTGAGAGATTTAAGTTACATGGTTCTTTGTAAACATGCTTTAAATAAGCCTTAATTAATTAATAACCCTTAATTAATTGGCCTTTAATTTGCATACAGTAATTACTGCAGCCAGATGCATCGCTCTAGCTTGTTTTACAGGACTTAATGCATGGTAAACAGCAGTTGATTATAAAAATATATATTTACTGAGGTGTTATGGTAATTTACTGAGATATGCTTACACAGCTGTTAAACTTCAAAAAAATAAAGCCAGCAAATTGATTTTTTTTTGAAAACACACAATGCCAAATCACATTATGTTTCAATGAAAAGCAAATCACGTAGTTGCATTAATTTAGAACACGCGGCTGAAAATACGACAACAGGTGCTTTGCGGCTATTTATTAAGGGAAGCAAATATTCTTAAAAGCAGAGAGAAAACTACCCCTTAACTTAAAAAAGGCACTGGGCACAGCCATGGTGTGTAGAGGAAAGACCTTCAGCCTCTGCCTGGGGCTCCGGGCAGCTTCGCTTAGAGCCCTGCTCCATTTCCCAAGACAAATTCTTTTGTCTTTGATGTAGACACTTTCTCCCTCAGCTGATCAGACTTTAATTGTTTCTCCTCGATTGTCATCAAAGTCTAATTAAAAGTACCCTTTAGGTTATTGTTCTGGTTAGCCTGAAATCTGGAGATATGAAATGTGCTTCTTTCTCTTTCTTTTTAACATCTTTAACCAAATGGATAGGCTTTAATCACAGAGACAGTTTAACAGAAAGGGCTCAGTGTCTCTGGCTGCCTCATTTAGAAAGTTTGATCCATTATTCCCCTCTCAAGTTGCCAGGGATTTATGATGAATTGATAACAAAGCTGTGTCCTAACAAGGCCAGTGCTGCCAGTCTCTGATCTAGGCATGGATGGAAATGTCTCATAGCACTTCCCAACCAAAGGCACCAGGCTAACCCTGGTGGCGCAGGGCTGCTGGCAGGCCACCTGCCATCACCCGGAGCTCCTCGCAAAGGGACATCCAAGGACCCATATGAGCTCACTGCTCACTTGGAGCCCTAGCACTGCTTAATGACACATGAGGCTACAGTCAAGGAGGGACCTCATTTTGAGTCCTGGCCACCTTCATGGGGCAGCTCAGGTCTCTTGTGCCCCTTCCTAGGGTCAACTCTCACAGGTCCACAGAGGGGATGGGAAACCATAGACCAGGTAAATAAGCACAGACATCCACTTCAGTGAGCCCCCACTTTGGGCTGGCCACACTCACGGCCCTCGCTCTTACCTGCGTGACCGGTGGCGAGCATGGTCACGTCTCTCCTTCCCTTTCACACAACCATTGGTGGCGGAGGCCTCCTTGGATGCATTGCCACTTGCCTTTTCAGGACGCCTGTCCTCTGCAGAGTATGACAGGCAACTGAGCGTCCCAGCACTAGGGCAACAGCAGAGAAAAACGGCAGTGAAAAACTGTTCTTACAGCTGGGGACATTTGCTAAATGCTTTTTGGGGGATTCCCTATGGGTCCCTGATCTACATTGCTTTCCATGGCCAAAGACCTACAGCCCACACAGAAGAGAAGTGAATAGGTTTGAGCCTTTCAAGGAAAGTTAGATCCTTGAAGATCTAGCCCACAGCTCCATGGAGAGCCCCAGGAAAAGGCCAAGCAGGTGAGGTGGTGGAGTTGCTCTTTACGTCAGGGAGCAACGGGAATGTATGGAACTCAGCGTAGGGGGCGGACAAAGCGTGAGACAAGAGCCTGTGTGTGAGGGTTAAAGGGCAGGCCAACAGGGGCACCACGGTTGTGGGGATTTACTACAGGCCTCCTGAGCAGGGAGAGGAAGTGGATGAGGCCTTCTACAGGCAGTTGCAAGAAGCCTCACGATCCCAATAAATCTATGGGCCCAGATGGGATGCACCCAAGAGTGCTGAGGGAACTGGCAGCGGTCATTGCTCAGCCACTCTCCATCATCTTCGAGAGGTCATGGAGAGCGGGGGAGATGCCGGAGAACAGGAAGAAACCAACATCACTCCAGTCTTCAAAAAGGGCAAGAGGGAGGACCCGGGAAACTACAGGCCAGTCAGCCTCACTTCCATCCTCCACCTAGAAAGGTGATGGATCAGCTCATCCTAGAGACCATCTCTAGGTACGTCAAGGAAAAGAAGGTGATCAGGAGTAGTCAGCATGGATTCACCAAGGGAAAGTCGTGTTTGACAAACCTGATAGCCTTCTGCAATGGGAGGACTGGCAGGCTGCATGAAGGGAGAGCCAGGGATGCTGTCTATCTTCACTTCAGCAAGGCTTTTGACACCATCTCCCATAACATCCTCATAGGAAAACTCCAGAAGTGTGGACTGGATGAGTAGACAGTGAAGTGGATTGAGGACTGGCTGGCTGGCAGAGCCCAGAGGGTGCTGAAAAATGGGCCCAGTCTAGTTGGAGGCCTGTGGCCAGTGGTGTCCCGCAGGGGTCAGTACTGGGCCCAGTGCTGTTCAACTTGTTCGTCAATGACCTGGATGAGGGCACAGAGTGCACCCTTAGCAAGTTTGTGGATGATACCAAACTGGGAGGAGTGGCCAACACTCCAGAGGGCTGCGCTGCCATCCAGAGAGACCTGGACAGGATGGAGAGTTGAGCAGAGAGGAACCTCATGAGGTTCAACAAGGACAAGTGCAGGGTCCTGCAGCTGGGGAGGAATAACCCCAGACACCAGGACAGATTAGGGGTTGACCTGCTGGAAAGCAGATCCGCGGAGAGCGATTTGGGAGTCCTGGTTGACAACAGGTTAACCATGAGGCAGCAACGTGCCCTTGTGGCCAAGAAGGCCGATGGGATCCTGGCTCCATCAGGAGGAGCGTTGGCAGCAGGGTGAGGGAGGGGATCCTGCCCCTCTGCTCAGCTCTGGGGAGGCACCTGGAGCATTGGGGGGAGCTCTGGGCTCCCCAGGACAAGAGGGACATTGAGCTTCTAGGGTGCAGCATAGAGCGACAAAGTTGATTAAAGGACTGGAGAATCTATCTTATGAGGAAAGACTAAGTGAGCTGGGCCTAATGTAAAAAAAAAAAGCAAACCCAAACAAACCAGAGCTCAAGCACTCAGGAGGGAAGTAAATAGATTTTTCAGGCCCCAGAGCTGTATATTTCAAAGAACTTGAGGATTAATGGAAAGCCATAAACCGTACCCGACAGGGGTGCCGAGAACACTGCTTTTGTGTGTCATCCATGGGATTATTCAAAGACAGAAAACAAGCACTGGCAGGTTGGAGCCTGGCCTGGCTTGGGGGGCTGTACCCACAGCAGTCTGGCCATCCGTGGGGACAGAGAGCAGCGTCCCCATTCCCCCTCGTCACACCACGGTGTAATTCTGAGGCCCACAGTCAGGCTGTGGGGCTGTGAAAGTGGCGTTGCAATGGAAAGCGCTCTTGCAAAGAGCAGGGCAATGCTACAACAGCGTGTTAGCCCCAGTTAACCATGGCCAGAGGCTTACAGGCCTCAGGGAATGCCATTCCCTGGCTTTTGCTCCAGGAAGGCTTCCTCTGGAGCGCTGTTTGTTCTGCCAACCCCTGTGCCAGGGCTGCAAAGCCCCTCACTGGGGCATGGCATGGGGACCAGGGCTGCTCGCCCCTGAAAAACGCCTTTTCAAACAGCTAATCATTATGGGAGCCGATTTGCTCACATCTGAGCTTTAAAGGTGTGCGTTAGCCAAACCCAAGTGCCAGGGGTCACTGAGGAAGAAGCCAGTGAGACGCCCCAAGCCCAGGATACACAGGAGACGATGCTGGCTGAGCCCGCGGTCCCTCTGGCTTTAAGGTAGATTACATCACTTGTAATAAATCTCCCAGTCTCTTCTCAACATCTATGTTATTTTTAACCATCCGGGAAGCTACATGGTTAATTGCTTTCTTTGTGCAACTAATTAGCTTGTGGCCTTTTCCGAACCCCTTTTAAGAACAGTCTTCCGAGGCTCAGTCGCTAGGATCCATTAAAAACATCCCCATATTAATGACCGGTGGAAAGGCCAGCGTGGCTCAGCTCCAGCAGCAGAGGCGGGGGGGGTTCTCCCGTGCACTTCAGGGCACCGGTGACACCCGTCCCGGTTGGAGGGCTGGCGGTGACATCCCTGCGCTGGCACCGGCAGAGCCACCAGCCCTCCCATGCACTGAGTGCCCTTGCGCTAAAACCCATCGGCCTCAAGGCCGGCAAGGACGGTCGCCCTGGCGCGTGTTGGGAACCGCTCGTTCCTTCTGGGCTTGGGAGTAATTATTGATGGAAATAATTATTCTCCAATCCCATCAAAGGCTGGCTTAGATTCAACCAAATATTTTCCTCCGATGAATGCTCAGAGTCTTTAATGCTCTAAACTGGCTGGTAATCCCCTTGGATTAACTCCCATGGACATTGATTGAAAAAAATATATATATATTTATATCCGCAGCCCTGACTGACAGCCCAAGCAGGCAGGAGGAAGAGGAGGGAGGAAGGAGGCTTTGCCCTGCCAGGCTTTTCCAGACGGGAGCAGGTGGGTGGGAAGCGGCCCGTTCTGCCTGGGGCTCCGATGTGCTCCGGGTGCACCAGCCCCAGCCCTTGGCCGCTTTCCCTAGACGTTGAGCTGGCAGATTTGGGCTCTCCCACGTTTTCCTTCCCTGCCAGAATGTCGCTGCAGCAGAAGGCAACGGTTTCTCTCTCCCCACAGCAGAAAGGATGCAGACAAGGTCACTGGTGGGAAAGAAACCAGACATTCCCAACCTCGGAGCACTGAGAGCAGTGAGAAACCCTGTTCCCAGGCATCTCTGGGCAGACCAGAGTGAAGCCGGAGAACCCAAGCACTGATGAAGTTAGGGTGAAACCTGCTGTGGGGACACAAGCAGAGTAACAGCGAGGCAGCTGCTTGGATGGCAAGAGCTTGTGTGGGACAGTGTCACCTGCCCCAGAGCTCCACGGCAGCCATCCGGAGCACCTGCCAAGAAAACCCAAGCCGTGGCCATCCTTGTGCTAGAGGCTTTTCTGAGCTCAGGACAGAATTTGGGAGAGATGACTCCCCAAGGAAGGAAACTTCCCTACTCTGCCCTTGTCAGTCCTTGCAGTTCGGTGGCCCCCGGGGAAGATGCTCCTGCCAATTAGTGTCACAAAAACTAAAAAGATTAAAGCATCTCTCATGAGCCTATTAGCTGTGGATGTTTCCCTGGGCATTGAAATGATGATGATGATGCCCTCATCCAGGGCATCGAGCTGGCAATATCCATCTGATGAAGGACACGGATACTGTGGGCAACCCTAAAGAAGAGAAACTCTCTGCTGGGCCGCTGCCAGGAGCTGTCCTCCTCCTGGGTGGACGTGGCCAGATGGAGGCACGTTGGCTAAATCGATGGGAAAAATCAATCCGATTTAAATGGAGAGAAAGATTAAATATCGGCCACAAAGTGCTCTTAATTACGGCGCCCAACCGGAGAGTGGCTGGGCCAGAGGAGCCAGCGGGTGCCGGCGCCCCAGCTCGCACCCCTGCCCGGCCTTCCCTGTGCCCTGGCCACACGGCAAGGCGAGACGGGCCCTGGTGCCCATCACCACGGCGTCGTGGCTCCCTGGGAGCCGCCCGGTGTCCCTGGGAAAATGGCGTGCTGAAACACCAGGAGCATTTCTAAAACCTGCCACTTTTGCTGGTAAAATTGCCCTTTTATTGTCCCTCTTTTACTTCTGCTCAGCTGATTAAGAAGGAAAATGGTCAAATGGCTCCTTTGTCCCAGGAATGGGAGGTGAGGAGAAAGAAGACGACGAAGGTTGCAAAGACATTTCTAAGCAGCAGCTTCAGCAGATGTGTTTACGTAAATCTGGTTGCGATGTGCTCTAAAAATACCTCTTCAAAATTAGGAGATGGGGAAAATTGCGAGTGCTCTTCACAAACCTGCGTGCCCCAGGCAGGCTCCTGTCCCCACCTCACTCCAGCGGCTCGCGTTGCTGCGGCAGGAACCCTGCAGTTTGTTATTGAAAATTATAATAGCAAATCACCGTGATATTTCCTCTGATTGCACCGACTGTGAGCCAGTTCAATTTTAATCTTCTCACAGCTATTTTGCTGTGTGGCAGCGGAGGCACCAGCTGCACGCTGAGCATGTGGCTTTCTCAAGGCGCCCAATTCCATGATATCTGTTATTTCACCCTGTTTCCACCAGCCAGGTCTCGCCTCCACTCCCTGGGGACTCAGTGTCCCACCACGAACTGCTCTTGGCCCCTCGGGCTCCCGCAGTGTTCGGTGTCCTCCCGTGGGAGCTCAGCTCTTCCCTTGCCGGCAGCGCCCGGTTCCGCACGCCTGGATCCCAGCACAGGCGCTTCCCGGCTGGAGGAGGCGGCAGTCGGCAGCGGGTGCTCCGGAGGATGCAGCGTGGTCCAGGACCGCGGGGAGCTCCAGCCCGGCTACGGACACGGCCCCATGGCGCCGATTCCGAATGGGAGCGGTCGGAGAAGCCTCGACCCCCGCCTGCCAGAGCTGCTTCTGCCCAACCCGGGGCAGCTCCACACGGCACGGCAGGCAGCAGTGAGATAGGCAGTTTATAGGCCAACAACGTGGGTTGTTAAATTTTAATGCCGTAGAGACCAGCGAGCGCTCCCGGAGCTGCAGAGCCGGCTTTCAAATGCTTTAGTAACTGGGCACTTAGGAGGCAGCTCCGAAAGGCCAAGTCGTGCCCGGCTGGAGCAGATGCACATGGAGCGAGCGCCCGGCACCGGAGCTGGCTCCTGCCTCCGCCCTTCTGCCCGCAGGCTTCATCGCAATCGTAATCCTAATTTTATTTGCTTGCTGGGGTCGGTGAGGCTGAGTGGAGGGTCACAGAAACAAATCCTAGTCCTGCCTTAATTTCTAGGATATCTCCAGGAAAAGGGAGGAATTGGTTTTGCTAACAAGGGTGAACAAGACCCCTGGGACCCCTCGCAGCTGAATTAATGGTGCTGGATCCAGCCCCGCAGCAAAACGGGCACCTCCGTCCAGCTGGAGCCCCCTGCCCGGCTCCACGTGGACTTTCCGCTTGCTTCCCGCACTGGAAACGCCGCGTGGTTTAATTAACGCCGCGCGTCTCTCGCGCTGGAGGTTGTGTGGCTTGTTAATTATTTTTATAAAGAAAATAATTAGGCGCAATCACGGCAGCAGCTCTGCAGCATTACAGCTCATTAACCGCTCTCCCGTTTTCCCGGTCTATAAAAAACTGGGCACCGCTGATGGAAATTGCAGGCCCGGGACGCGGCGCCAGCGCAGACCCGGCCGGCACTAGCAGCCAGCGCCCGCAGCAGGGGACGCGGCGCGGGGCGAGGGGGCTGCTGCCGTGCGGGGGCCCGGCTCCCGCCGGGTGCGTTTCACAGACCAGCAGTGACACCAAATGAACCCGCGCGGCGGCGGCGGGGCCGGGCTGGGCGCCCGCTCTGCCACCCGACCGGGCCATGGAGGGTGGGGACAGCAAGGCCCTGGGTGGGAACCTGCTTTTGGGAGGCCTGGGCTCGCAAGGGCCAGCCAGACTCTCCAATCCCGCAAACATCCCTGCTCCCTGAGTCCAACTTGGCGCAGGGAGCGCGCCGGCCAGAGCAAGCCCAAGCACCTTCCCGAACCATCCCGGGGCCTGGGGATGCCCCAGTGGTGACCTGGACACATCTGCCTTATGCAGGGAAAATCTGAGGAGGGAAAACACCCTACAGGGAGTTAGAGAAGGAGGTGGCTGGGCAGCAGCAGCCTCCATGGGAACGTCCACCAAGGCCCAGAGTGTCCCCGCGCGCCGGCTCCGCCATGGCTGTGCCCACCTGCGTTAGAGCGCAGGGAATGTGCTGCAATGATCACCTGATCCACACGCTGTTATGTGTCCCCAGGTATTAATTTGTGAATTAAACACAAAGTGTTAAATGGGCCAGCAGCAATGCCCTCACCCCCTGTCCGCAGCCACAGGGGCCGGGAGCTCCCGGGGCTCCCGCTCGGCACCTGCACACGGAGCTGCTGCTTCGCTCCCACCAGCCGGCCCTTCCTGGAGGGAGCCGGGGGGGCTCCCCAGCAATACTGTTTTTTTCTCACTTTTTCCCCCCAGACCTGCGCTCTGCACCCCAGTGCTGCAGGGAACCCAGCCTGGTGGTTGCAGCCCGGGCACCCGGCGGGTACCCACCCCACCACACTTGGGGTCATCTCTAAACATTTTTACTCAAGAGCAAAAACCAATTATTCATGTAAGCGCCAAGGCTGTTCCCCCCCTGCATTCACTGCTGATCTTCCATCCAGCCAGAAGACATTTCCCCCTTTTCCCCTCCCGCGGCCTCCGGAGCTGCCTAATCAGGGCGGCGCTCGGCTCCCTCGCCGCCGGCCAGCTGGGGCCGCGCCGGGGGACAAAACCGCCGCGAGCGGCCCGGCCGG